GTCAAGAAACTCAAGGAGCCCCCGCGGTCGCCCCAAGGGGCCCCGCAAAGGCCTGTCAGGACCAGGACAAAAATAGGCCTGGCGAAATAACCAACCACATGCTGCTGCGGGTACCATATGGGGCCACGATTGCGCGGGGAACGCGCCAAGATGAGGCGGCGCCGCCATGTCGACCACGCCAATGGGGCTTCCAGTGGTACTCCACGCGGGGCCACGAACCGAGTGAAGGGTGCGCCCCAATGGGGCGCAGCCGCCATGTAGACCCTGCCACTGGGGCCTTCGAGTGAGCCCCATGCGGGGCCACGAGCCGTGCGAGGGGTGCGCCCGCATGGGCGGTACCGCCATGGGGCCATGCCACTGGGGCCTTCGGTGGACCTCCATTTGAGACAACGAAACGTGTGAGGGGTACGCCCAAATGAGGCGGCGCAGCCACGTGGACCTTGATCCAGCATGGATCCTGGCACGTCGGCGGGCCTGGCGAAAGCATAAATGTATCCAAGAATTTAGGGTCTTGTCCGAGCCCATCGATATCCCCCTGCGTGAATGCATAATCTTCATCGCCACCCAGACTTATTCATGGTGAGACTCACGCACGCCCCGTTCGTGGCCGTTTTGCGGGGGTGCCTCAAGCGGTTTGCCTGTCTTCTGTCCCAACATCCTTGGCTACCAGAGCAGACTGTGAGGATGTCTCAGGCGGGACGCTGGTTTCAGCCCCCCCTGACGGAAACCACCACGTGTTATTTCACTGTCCCATTCGCGGCCGTTTTGTGGAGATGTCTCAAGCGGTTTGCCTGTTTCCTGTCCCAACATCCTTCGCTGTCGGAGCAGATTTGGAGGATGTCTCAAGCGAGGCGCTCATTCTCACCCCCCATAGGGGGAACCGCCAGGGCTTATCTCACGGTCCCGTTCGGGGCCGTGTTGTTGGGATGTCTCAAGCGGTGTCCCTGTTATCTGTTCCAACAGCCTTCGCTTTCGGAACAGATTTGGAGGATGTCTCGAGCGTGGAATGGGAAGTGCGCGCGAATGAGGGGGGGAAGGGGCAATGCGGCGAGGAGGAGGAGGATGAGGCGGAAGGCGTGGATGACACGGGGAAAGGGAGGGGAGGGATAACGAGGGCGGTTGAGGGGGGCGAGGGAGTGGGAGAACACCAGGACGACGAAGGCGAAGGAGGATGAGAAGGAGGAGGAGGATAACAGGAGAAAAGGGGGGTAACGTGAGGAGGCAGGGGATTAATATGATGGCGAAGTGGGGTGACGGGGGGTAGAAGATAACAAAGAGGAGGGGTCATGCCGCATTCAATTTCCTCTGGCCCTTTCCGGCCGTTTTGCTGCGATTTGGGCGGTTCTTCGGGTGGTGCCGAGCGCTCTAATACCCAGAAGGGCGAGAGCGTGACGTTCCTTTTCTTTTTCTTGTGTCTGATCAGTTTGATGGCGCCCGAAAAGCATCCTCGCTGACAGCGCGCGGTATTTTTTGGGAGCTCTTGGATTGTCCTCGGGTTGGTGTGAATCATTTTGGGCCGCATGGGCCGTCGCATCGTGATTGTCTCTATGAAAAATGATCACCTTCAGCGGTGTCGGCCGTCGTTGGGGGCAGTGTGCGCCGCCATGGCAGTTCGCATCAATGCAGAGGACGTTTGAATGACATAGGGCCGATGGGGGGGGGGGGACGGCATATTTGGGAGCAGTTGCGACGATTGGTATGGCCGGGCCGCCCTCATTCTAAATATGCGACGTGCTCGTTTTCTTTGTTTCTTCCAGGGCGTGCTGTCAGCAGGGGGAACGCCGCGCGCCTGGATGCCCCGATGGGAGCTCACGGATTGGATTTTACAGTGCGACGGTGGCCCCAGTCCGTTATCACCGCGTGATGTTCGCCCCGCGCGGATGGCGTTGCATGTCAGACGGGTAATCCCCATCGAGGGTTTGGTGCAGTTTGCATGTTCGCCATATCCTAAGATGGTTTTTTGTTATTACGTGGACGCCTCCTACTCCTTCTCACTCTTCTCCTGCCCTCTCCTCCTCATGCCCCGACTTACTCATATACAGACTGACTCACACTCAGACTAACTCAGACACATATTCACACACAAATACCTACTCATACTCATACCTACTCATACTCAGACCTGCTCCGACTCAGACTTACTCATGCTGAGACTCACGCGCGCCCCGTTCGCGGTCGTTTCGTGGGGATGCCTCAAGCGGTTTGCTTGTTTTCTGTCCCAGCATATTTCGCTATCGGAGCTGATTTAGAGGATGTCTCGAGCGAGGCGCTAATTTTCACCCCCCTTAGGGGAGCAACCAATGGTTATCTCACGGTCCCCTTCGCGGCCGTTCTGTGGGGATGTCTCCAGCGGCTTGCCTGTTTTCTGTTTCAACATCCTTCGCTTTCGGAGCAGATTTGGAGGATGTCTAGAGCGAGGCGCTCATTTTCACGTCCCTAAGGAGCCGCCGAGGGGTTATCTCACGGTCCCGTTCGCGGCCGTTTTGTGGGGATGTCTCAAGCGGGTTTGCCTGTTAGTTGTGCCGACATCATTCGCTTCCGGAGCAGATTTGGAGGATGTCTCGAGCGAGGCGCTCATTGTCACCCCCCTAAGGGGATTCAAATATTCACTGCGTGGGGCTCCCCATATGCGCATTTATTCCCATGGACCTGTCCGCCGTGAGAATCTAGGCGCAAAAACTTTCGAGTATAAACGGGTTTCAGTTGTGACGGTCTGGTCATGAATCTAACTGAGAATCAATTGGAGTGTGAATGAGCCTCAGTAGTACGAGCGCGTCTCTGCGCATGTCCCTGGGTCCTCCTGGGGCCTCCTGGGGCCTCCTGGGGACCTACTGGGGCTTCTTGGGGCCTCCAGGAGCCTCTTTGGGCCCCCTGGGGCCTCCTGGGACCTCCTAGGGAGGATTCGTGCCCGAGGAGAGGCCCAATCTATAGCAACAGTCGTACATAAAACATTGCGACTTGGAGCCGCAGAAAAAAAAGGGACAATCTATAGGAACACGCGTACAACACCAAGGAGTCGTGCCCTAGGAGAGGCCCTATAGGAACATAAGTACACAGGATATGGACAATCTATAGAAACATACGTATAACATCAAGGATTCGTGCCCCAGGTGAGGCCCAATATATGAGAGCATACGTAAAACACATGGGATTGGAACCACCCCTGTTGCCTTCTGAGGCCTCCTGCTCCTGGGGCCTCTCGGGGCCTCCTGTTGCCCTCCGGAGACCTCCTGGCGCTTCCTCTGGCCTCCTGGGGCCTCCTGTGGCTTCCTGAAGCCTCCAGGAGCTTCCTGGGGCCTCCTAGAGCCTCTTGGGGCATCCTGTGGCCTCTTGGGTCTTTCTGTGGCATCCTGATTCATCCTGGGACCTCATGTGGTCTCCACGGGCCTCCTGGAACCTGTTGGAGCCTCCTGTGGCATCCCCAGGAAAACCAGCGCCCACGAGTCTGGCCACCGATCGAGACATCCTCAAAATCTGGCCCACCTGGGGGGGTGAAGTGGAGCGCCTCGCTCGAGACATCCTCCAAATCTACTCCGAGAGCGAAGGATGCTGGGACAGAAAACAAGCACACCGCTTGAGACATCCCCACAAAACGGCTGCGAACGGGACCGTGAGAGAACCATTGGCGGCTCCCCTTAAGGTGGTGAATATGAGCGCCCCCCGCCAGTCCTCCTGCCAAGGGAACCTGGCTGTGGTTTTCGGCGACGCACCAGCGCCCTTGGCTAACAGCGTTGCAACGCACGCGCTGCATTACGCGGAAGTAGTAAGATGATATGTTTCTGACCTGATGCGTGGGCGCGCACGGCGCGGGCCTACATGGCGCGTCGAAGGCGCCTGACACACGCCCGCGATACTATTCACGACCGAAATCGGAAAATTAGCTCCGGCGGCGCACATGCGGTGGGACACGCGTGCGTTCGGCATCACCCGCGCGAGGTGGCTAACAATTTCGCGGCGTTGCGCTAAAAATGCCATTGTGCCCAACATCGTTTCGAAGCGCGCTGCGGTGCGCCGCGCAAGCGCGCGTGGACTGCGGCCTGCGTGCGGCCCGCGCACTAGTACGAGCGATTGAATCTGAAAGGGCCAGGCGCGGCACGTGCGCCATGAAAACGCGGCACACGGCAAAAGCAGTTACGAGAAGGAAACTCGCGCGATTCGCGTGCCTCCGTCGACCGAAATCGCTAAATCAGGGCAAGCGATCGGCGACGACCGCGTTTGACGCCACCAATAAATACATGAAAAAATGCAAAAACAAATTTGTCGAGGCCCTCGTTTTGTTTCCTGGTGGGCGCAACACCTGACCAGTGAGCTTCTTCTGAGAAATCGCGTTTCCCTGTGTATGCGCCACTCGTCTTGCAGAACCGGTCCCGCTCCTCCGCAACCCAATTGAAGTCCCCTGCGATGATGGTCACCGCCTCGTGGGAAGGCCTGGCGCTGCCGGTCACTGAGGTGCGGAGGCGAGCCCGTTGCCGCGGGAGCGGGATCAGCGGGTGCGCTGGGGGCGCAGTCGAATCTGCCACCGTGCCCGTCTGGAAATAGACGACCGTCAGGTCCAGCGAGCCGCTGGGGCCATCCAGACGCAGCACCGCGGCGCGGCCCGGGTGGAGAATGACCCAAGAGTGTTGAGAGAAGCGGGCCAACAGATCGTCCTTGACCACGACTCCGACGCCACCGCGTCGAGAGGTGCCTGGGGCCCACCACGACTGGGAGCCGCGCGGGGCCTCGGCTAGCCGGAGGGACTCCGCGGTGCCGTGGGTCTCGGTGACCAGGACGGCGTCGTGCTGGCGCAGGAGGCGGTTCAGCACCTGCCACTTCCGGCTGTGCCGGACCGCGTCGGAGGAGAAGAGGGCCTGCGCGTTCCAGGTGCACACTGAGAGGTCTCCGCGATAAGGATACCTCGCTGGAGCGGCGCCTGCACGGAGTGGCCGAGGAAGCGCAACTTCGGCAGCGGCGTGTACATAAGTCGACGGGATGATGCCCAGGGCACGGCGGACGAGGGCCTTCTGGAGGATGGAGACGGGGACGTTGCTGCGGTTGGACAACCAGGAAACTTGCTCGTCGATGGGCGCGGGCAGGAGGGTGGGGAGGTAGTCGGCGGCGGCGGCAGCAAAATGCGAATTATCCATGCTGGGGACGCTGGCGTCGCGGCTGGTGGACAGGAGGCCGTCCAGCAGGTGCAACACGACGTCGAGCATGAAGGTCATGCAGCCTGAACCTGTGATGGCCCAGGCGATCGCCGGCTCGTCTGGTAGTCAACGGGCGGCGGTGCCGCCATGCACCCTGTCTTGCAGATCGTTGAAGACCTGCACGCGGAAAGTGTCCATGCCGACCCTCACCGCCTTGTCGTGCAGGGTGGCTCGAACCCGAGCCACCTCCTCCAGGTCATGCAAGTAGAGACGGAACCGGCCAGGCGGCGCTGAGGGGTCGGCGGCGGCCAGCCATTGCCACTTGCCTGCCCGGTGCCCGCGTTCCTCCTGCAGCTCGGTGAGCGGGATGCCCGTCTGGCCGACCAGGTGCGTGACCAAGGCACGGACCAGCGCGTGCTCGTCGGCGTGGAGGTGACCCTTGATCTCGACGTCCGTGATGGCCTGGGCCGCCGAGGAGGTCCCGCGGGTCTGCTTGGCCCGACGCGTCGCGGCGATCCTCGCGGGAAGCGCCGAGGGCATGGCGAATGGGCGCCCTCCATGGCGGGACGGGCGCCATTTCAGCTTGTAGACTGCCGTGTCTGGGTCGTTGCGCATCGTGGTATCCATGGCCTGCTGCCACGTGTCGGCGGACGCCTCCGTCGTTAGGAGGAGGGTGGACTTGTTCAAGAAGAGGGCTCCGGAGCAGAGCGCCCAGATCGACATGAGCGCGTCCGCGTGGCCGAGCTCCGCGATGAGGGAGCCTGGGTCCGTGTAGATAGCCGCGGAAGCGAAACTCACGCCTGCTGGCAAGAGCCGGCGGGCGTGGCGCATGAAGAGCTCCTGGTCGAGGCGCGAGGCGGCGTGGGCGAAACGTACCTCGACTCGGCCCCTGGGAGTCTCGTCCGTATATCCTGGGCTGCGGTAAATCCTGCCGATCGTTCCAGTCGGACCGAACCCGCCGAGCGCGCTGCACAAAACGTTCATGACCTCCGCCCCCAGGATCGACGGAAAATCCACGAGGTATGTGGGCGAGGGCGCGACCTCGAGCACGGGGGTATCCAGCTCGCTGATCTTAGGGGACTCCCGGAGGAGGGATGTTGAGACCGTGAAGATCGCGAGCCCTCGAAGCTCGTGCCGCGGTCCTGCCGGACCAGGGGACACAAACTCCACCGGCTGGGGGTGGAACTCGATGCGGCGACGGAGGGCGGCCCACTTCTCGCTCATGAGGTCGTGCCACCACAGGTCGCAGATGCTCTCGACGGTGGCGCAGCCGTGGAAGAGGTCCAGCGGCACGATGAAGCGGACGTACTCGCAGGGATTGTTCGAGCCACGCCGGAGCAGTGCGGACAGGAGGCGGCCGAGGGCGGAGGCGTTCGAGGGCGCCCAAAGCGAGATGGGCCTCCCAGTGCTCTGCACGGTGTCCCAGAAGCTGGGGTCGCCCTTCTCCGCGAGGTCTGCGAGCAAGCGGGCGGCATCCGTGGGCGCCACCCGTCCCTGGAGCTGGGGGAGGGCGCGGATCGCGCTGGTGTCCAGCAAGGACGACCACTGCGTGCATGCGACCTCCATGTTGCTTGGGGCGGTGTCCAGAACGGCCTGGAGTGCTCGGCTGCCCAACTCCCACCACAGCGGAAGCTTGGACGGCCGCGTCCGCTTGCGCTCGCGGGCCCACAGGTCGAACAATGCGGAGCAGGTCGCCGCGGCAGTCGCGATCGCCTGGATGTCCCTATGGGTCTCTATTTTGTCCGCTTCCAGCCACGCTGCACCATCGATCATGGAGGCCAGCAGCTTCGCGAAGCGGAGGCGGGCCTCGATGGTATTCAGAGTCATGTCTGGGCCTTCGATTGGCGAAAGGCCGAGGACGCTCCAGGCGTCCGCGGCCGAGGGGGCGTAGGCGAGCGAGCGGAGGACCATGACGAAGTCGGCCCGGGAGTCCAGGGAACGCGGGACGACAATCGGACCGTCCACGCTCCGGGCGGCCTGCACGAGCTCGAAGAACTGCAAGATCTCGTGCTCGATGAGTGTCGTCAAGGGTGATGGCGATGGCAGGCCTGGCGCTGTCGGCGTCCGGACGCCTGGGATGGGCGTGCCGGCAGCGTTGGCAGCCGCGGCAGCCTCAGTCCACCCGATGGTCTCCTCGTCAACCTCAATGGCTTCGAGTTCGGCGAGCGTTTGCGACGCCCCGAGGTCAGCGGCGCCGTTCAGCTGCATGTCCGCCACACCTTGCGTGGCGCCGGACCCCTCGTAGTCGTCCATGTTTGTGTCATCAGCCGTGGCGGCCGGAGCGGCCGCAGCTGGGGCTGCCGCCGCCGCTCCAGCTCCATGCGCGGCGCAGAAAGTGAAGCCCGGGACCGCCTCCCCCTGCACCCCATGGCTGAGGCATATCCGGCATTGCGGCATGGCTCAGGGAAAGCAGGGAGTGAGTGCAGACGCAATCTGTTCTGTAAAGTTTTTCTGCTACCCGCTTGAGCCAGAGCGCCTTGAGCCAGGAGGAGGAGATCAGATGTGAAGATGGAGGAGCAGGATGAGGACCAGGATGAGGAGGAGGAGGAGGAGGAGGAGGAGGAGGAGGAGGAGAAGGAGGAGCGGGGTATGGGGCGACAGGGAGGGGAGACGGAGCGGAAGGCGGAGAGGAGAGGAGGGGGGGGAGACTGGGGGGGTGAAGAGGCGGGAGATAGGCTGGCGGACAGAGACCCAGACCTCCACCGTCTCGAGACACGCAAGGCTGAGGCTGTTCGCCGATTTCGTTTTTTGGGGGGGGGGCCCTCGCCAGACCCCAGGACCGTCAAAAACTACTCAGGATGACGAGCCGTCCCCGGGGAAAAGGCCCAGAACTCCGGGAACCCCATCTTGACAAACGCAAGACGCCAACTGTCTGGGGATGTGAAGATGGAGGGGAGCAGGAGGGGGAGGAGCGGGGCGTGTGGGGGAGGGGAGGGAAGGGGGGTTGAAGAGGGCGAGTCGGAAGGGCGCGGGCAGGCTAGATCGCAACTCAAGGATGCCCCGCCCCCCTCTCCATCTCCACGTCACAGGCGCATGCGCAGAGCAGCGTGCCCCAACCGCGCTGTAAGCCCGCTCTCCTCCCAAGACTTCTATCCTTGTATTGCGCCGCGCAGACAGTAGAAACGTGGGGTGCAAGCGGCACCTCGCCGAGGGGACAGTTTGCGCACCGCTCGCATTGCTGTTGACCCTCCTCCCCCGTCAAGTCCAGCTCAGCACCCTCCTGCTTCTGCGTGTCATGATATCCTTAGTCGTAACCCATCATCTTACTTGGGCGCTCGCCGTGACAACGGAGAATTCAGTGTTCCTTCTTGCCACCAACTGTATAAGTTCCTAACACTATCCCTTCTATCCCTACGCCTGCTCCGACTTGTCTTCTTACCCCATGCTTGGACTCAAGATACCTCTCGCTTGCCCAGCCTTGCTCTTACGCAGACACTCCGGGGGTCCCGCCCGTCGTGTCCCGCCACGTGTTGCCTATATGTGCAGGGTTACATTATGTGTGCATCGGGTTTCGCTCTCAAGGGCCCAACCATCGTTCCCCATGTATCTTGGGTTTCGTGGTCACCGCCCATCGGATCCAAACCTTGCCTGCGCATGTGTGTTGGGTCCAGCAGAGAGGGCCCGACTACATCGTCGGCTGGACATGTATCAAAATCCCTGCCTCAGACCATGACCTTCTGCAGTCTCTTCCCACTGCGCGCCGGACGCGCGCTTTCTTATGTTCGTAATTTCTCATCGTCCTCCTGCTTTTCCTTCGCCTACTCCTCATCCAATTCAATTTGGCATGCGCTCTGACGTCGTGTCGCGCCACGAGAAACTGCACATCATGCCCTACGTGCGAGTCGAAAATATCGAGGGGTGCGGCAGGAAGCCGCGGAGATGGAGAGGCACATCCTGCGCGGCACCACGCAGGGAAAAGGGCAGGGGGGCAGCTGCGGCGCCCCATCTGCTACTCGTCCCCTTCCTGCAGTACGTCCACCTGAGGCTGCTCCGTCTCCTCCTCTAATCCTGCAGTGCACCAGCGGGTTGGTCCCCTCCTTTGGGATACTTGTCGCTGCTGGCGGTCTCCTTCGTGATCTCTGGCATGATCTGCTGTTGCAACCAATACGCCACGCCTCGCTTCTCCTCGTCCTCGTCCTCCTCGTCTTCCCATCTCGCCTCTTTTTCCTCCGATGCCTCATCTTCATTATCGTCCTCATCTTCAGAACCAGCAGCATCGCAATAGTCATAACATTGTCCTCATCATCGATGTCGTCATCATCACCGCAATCATCATCATGATCATCATCAGCATCAGCAGCATCATCATCGTCGACGTCGCCATCATCCACTTATTCCTTCACCTTCTCCTCCCTCATCCTCCCCTCGCTCCTCCTCCTCCTCCTCCTCGACCTCCTCCTCCTCGTCCTCCTCCTCCGCCGCGCAATCATCGTCATCAGGATCATCATGATCATGATCATGATCATCATCATCATCATCATCATCATCATCATCATCATCATCATCATCATCATCACCGTCATCATCAACATCACCATCATCATGATCATTAACATCATCATCGTCGTCATTGTCATCGTCGATAGAATCCTCCTCATCGTCATCATCCTCATCATCATCACAATTCCTATCAGTATCCCGATCACCATCGTTATCATGCACCCATCTGCATTATCATCATCATTAGCATCATCATCGTGATTATCATCCCCAGCATCAACATCAACATCGGCATCGTCGTCATCAGCCTCAACACCAGCGGCAGCACCATCACCAATATCAGGATCAGCAGTTGCATCATTGTCGGCGTCGGAATCCCCGCCTTCATCATATAAGTGTCACCCAAATCCCCCCCATCATCATCATCAGCATCAGCATCAGCATCAGCCCCATCATCATCACCACCATCAGCATCATCATCGTCAGCATCATCATCATCATCATCATCATCATCATCATCATCATCATCATCATCATCATCATCCTGATGATCAGTATCACCAGCATCATCAGCATCGCTGTCATCAGCACCATCAGCACCATCAGCATCATCAGCATAAGCATCACCATTATCAGCATCATTCTCATTACCAGCAAAACAGAAGCAGCATTATACACATCAGCAGCAGCCACATCGTCGTCATCCTCAGCATTAGCATCGCAATCGCATCATCGCCATCGTGATCGCCACCAAAATCATCACAACCAACATCATCAGCCGTATCGTCCTGATGGCCATCGCCATCGCCGTCATCCTCATCGTCATCAGCATGATCCGAATCACCATCATCAGCATCACCATTATCATCCGCATTATCATCACCATCACCATTAGCACCATCACCACCAGCATTGTCGTCAGGTTTATCATCGGCATCATCGGCAGCAGCATCCGCATAGCATCACCATTGCATCACAGCATCAGCATCAGCATCGTCATCGGCACCACCATCATCACATCATCACCATCAGCAACATCAGCATCCGCATCACCATCTCCGCGTCATGATCATCATCACCATCCTCATCATTAGTATCATCCTCATCACAATCGTCAACACATGCATCATCGTCAACACCATAACCATCACCATCCTCACCATCATCAGCATCGTTACCAACATCATCAGCAGCATCATCACCAGCGTTAGTATGACCACCATCGGCATCATCAGCACTACTAGCACCGCCATCATACTCGTCGCCAACCCCATTATCGTCAAAGTCACCAGCAGCACAAGGCAACATCGTAGAATTATTAGCATCAGCAGTAGCACCATCATCAAACCCATCATCATCACCACCTACAGCAGCATCACCATCATCTTCATCATATTCATCAGCACCACCATCATCATCTTCATCCTCATCATCTTCATCACTACCGCAATCATCAACAGCAACCTAATATTTGCCAACATCACCATCACCAACCGCAGCATCATCGTCACCTGTAACACTACCACCATGATCACCATCAGCAGCATCATCGTCATCAGCATTACCATCATCACCATCATCAGCAGCAGCAGCTGCTCGCGCCAACGGCACGGGCGCCCAACAAGGTCTTCGAATGGAACGCGGGAGCGGCCAATAGTCCCCGACACCCTTGGGCGAGGAGCTAGCGGTGCTGTTCTGCTGGACCCCCCTCGGCACCGCGGGCGCCCATGGTCACTGGCCGATGGAAGGCGGGCCGCTCCGACGTGGATGCCGACGCCCACCGCCGCCTGCGCGCGGGTTGCTGGGTCCCTTGCGGGAGGCACGAGGCGGCCCCATCATCGCGAAGGTGCCAGTGGCCGACGGCCACGGCGGCGACAGCGTGAACGGAGGCTGCGATGCGGAGGCTCACGCCGCAGGTCGTGGTCAGCATAGACCTGTGCACGATGGAGCGGGCGACGATCATCTCCCGCGTCCGCTCCTTGAGCCTCGTGGGTGCGCGTGTCGTGCCGTTGCGTTGCGCCTCAGTGGGCCGCCCTGTGGGGCCCAATAACGACGCTCAAGACGCAGGCTCTGCCCCGCCTCGTGCTGGTCATGGTGGATGGCAAGATGGACGCCATCGCGGTGGTTTTCCGGCATCTGCTGGCGGAGGCGGTCTGCCGCGTCCTGCCTTTGCTCGCGCTGGCAATGGTTAAGAGCGCGACGGTCATCAACAAGGTGGCCTTCGAGATTCTGCGGAGGAGGTGTTCGACCGCACCTTCTCCCTGGGCCTCGCGGGCGCCGCTTTCGAGCAGTCGCGCTTCAGCCTGTGCGAGGTGCTGGAGAGCCTCACTTTGATGACTGCGCTGACCGCACCCAAGCCACATGCGAAACCTACCCCGCCAACCCACGATTTCTAAGGGGGGAGCGGGTTTCACCTCGTGCGGGACCTCCCGAGCGAAGTGAACCCCACCTTCCCCTTAGAAATCGCGGGGTGGTGGAATAGGGTTCGCACGTGGCCACCGAATCATGCCGGAGGGCGCGATTGTCGCCGCGAAGGTATCCGCGGCGCTGGTCCCTTGGGCCTCCTAGCCGCTTGCAACGCGCTGCTCTGTTTCATGTTCATCGGCGTCGGGCAGGCGGCTGTCGGCCTCTTTCGAGGGATGGCGCTGCTCCTGGCCCCGTCCCCGGAAGTACCCCCGCCTGTCCGCGGGCCCGCCACCCCTTCTGTTGGGGAGCAAGGGGATAAGGAAGTAACAAGGAGCCACGGACCTCTGTGTGCGACGCCAATTTGACCGATCGG